GTATATTAAGTAAACACAGACCTTGTTTACCAATATTCAATAGGTGTATTAGTAAACACGACATATATACATATTCAATAGGTCTATTAATAAACACAGGTCATTAGTTATACTAAAGTTTCAAATAGGTCTATTAAATAAAACACAGGTCATTAGTTATACCAATGTTTCAAGTAGGTGTATTAAGTAAAACACAGATCATTAGTTATACCATTGTTTCAAGTAGGTGTATTACGTAAAACACAGATCATTAGTTATACCATTGTTTCAAGTAGGTGTATTACGTAAAACACAGATCATTAGTTATACCAATATTTCAAATAGGTGTATTACGTAAAACACAGATCATTAGTTATACCATTGTTTCAAGTAGGTGTATTACGTAAAACACAGATCATTAGTTATACCAATATTTCAAATAGGTGTATTACGTAAAACACAGATCATTAGTTATACCATTGTTTCAAGTAGGTGTATTACGTAAAACACAGATCATTAGTTATACCAATATTTCAAATAGGTGTATTACGTAAAACACAGATCATTAGTTATACCAATGTTTCAAGTAGGTGTATTAAGTAAAACAAAGATCATTAGTTATACCAATGTTTCAAGTAGGTGTATTAAGTAAAACAAAGATCATTAGTTATACCAATGTTTCAAGTAGGCGTATTAAGTAAAACACAGATCATTAGTTATACCAATGTTTCAAGTAGGTGTATTAAGTAAAACACAGACCATTAGTTATATCGACTAAGCGCCCACGCTTCCCTCCTTTCATTTACATTGATCACTGACCTTATAAAGATATCTTGTTATGTAAACAGCGAAGTTGGATGTAATAATCATAGTATGATGCAATGTAGCTCTATCTTTGACCAGACAAATTGCTATCATTATCCACGCTCTCAAGTAGTTTTTAATAAAAGACTCGAGCAGTTTATCGCAGTTATTTTCATGAAACTTGTCCGGGGCTCTAAAACTTTCTAATTAACTCCCTAAGTAGTCCCATAGATGTTATATAAGGTTAAGTTCTGGGTACTGGACATACTATTCCCACTTTGTAGGAAGAAGCATATCATGCTGAAACAACGCACTCCACTAACCTAGAAACTGTCATGACAGTGTACATTTAGAAGTGGAAACCTTCAAATATAGATCCAAAACCAAAACTGCGCAAATGTAGCTCACATCAATACATGCAATCACAACATAATTGTGTTTGAATTGCCTACAGGAAAACGTTCAGCAATGATTTTGAAACTAAGTGAAACAGCTTTAACCACTTCACAAAATTAAGTTTCCAATGTTGATGGTTCGCATATTCTTATACTTACTCTTTCAAAAAAGTTTTCGTGTTGAGAACGTTCCATTTGAAATGAGCTATATCATTATAAGTAGCGTGTGATGATGTTATTAAATATCAACTATGCTGTGGTTGTATGAACCTACATTGTCTGTTCTGTTGTACATCAAGACGTGCATGATGAAGACTAATTAAAATGAGCTGATGGGGAACGTTCACACGTGGATGCCCCAAAGTCACTGTGAATTTGATTCAAGTATGATTTCTAACATTTTATTCACAATCCTAACAGTTGAATACCTTTCACTATACTAATCATTCTTAACATTGTTCTATTAAGTCCCAGACGCTATTAAACGAATATTGGGACTGTAGAAAGTATTGTGGTACATCGATTTTACACTACACGATTATCGTATAATCTCCCCACATAATTAACAATGCTTTTGTGGGGAGGAGGATCCAATGATTCACTGTTCGTGTCTCGCAGCTAAATAAAATTTCGCTCTTTAGGGTCGTGAGTACACGCAATATATTCGATTAGAATGTTTCAAGTGAAATCAGTGGGTGCCGTTGACTAGCTTCATTCTCTCTAGTGTAGCATTTCGAAATTGGAAGGAATAGAGCAGACAGCCCTTGTGTAGCTATGGGCGAAGATCTTAAGCAATCGAACAATATTTTTACTAACACACTTCTACGCTACTAATCTGCATCCTTAGTGTGCCTCTTGATGTATTCTCACCAAATTATTTTGTAGAACATGCTAGATGGATCGTGCATGACACGTGTCTAGTTAGTGGCTGGATATGTTCTGTGGAATTACTTTAGGTAACAATGTTGAAAACATAACAAACGTCAGAATTAGGTAAAAAAAACAAAAAAACACACGTGTCTTCCCGAATGTACAAGATAATCACTTCCGCTCTACGTGGAAGGAAGTAAAAGTTACAATAATTATATTTTATTATTAAAAGTAATTTTTAATTCTAAGAATTAACCTATTTTGGTTGCTTTATTTGTTTCTTATTAATACCAGAAATAGTTTAGTAGCGTTTTACCCTATTGTTTGATTTATTATGATAATTTTGAATCATAATTAGACTGTTAAATATGTTCTTTTATAGATGATTTAGGCAGATTATTCACGATGAACAAATAAAGTTGAAATGGCAGTAACTGTCTTATTCAGAGTGACACTTGTAAAGAAAAAGACTAATCTAGAAAAGTAGTTCAGGAAGAAAGGATAACGTTTCGAAACGTCTCTACTATTGTCACTCTTAAAGAGGCAGCCGCTGTCTATTTTACCTTTGTTTGTTAAATTTATTGTTTTAACTAAATCATCAATTCGTCCTATGCGGACTAATTCTATTATAAATACTTTAACAAGTGGTTGTTTTACGAGTGCGTGATTTTGCTGTTTTTCTACACGTACGTCTTGGTGTAGAACAGTTCAGTTGGTGAAGGCTCTTACAAACTCAGCACGGATGCTTTATAATATTAGAGAACATAGTGCTAAGAAAAGAAAGTACCCAGATTTTCTGTTTTGTTGATCGAAGGTGTAATTCCCGTTTTAGTAAACTGAAACTTAGGGAAGCTTCAGTTTACTTGCTGTCAAACAAATAGAATAATTCTAGCAACTGTTTTATGCTCACAGCTCTTTTGTGTCCGAAGCTATCTACGCCTAGAAATTTAAAACGTCCTATTATTATGGTAACACTGGTAAAGGTTTATTTATCTACGTGGTTTGCGTATACCTTTATGACGTTATATCACACAGTTCTTATACGAGTAACTTATTTTATTAATTATAAATTCTACTACGTCTTTCATACCAAAATGAAATTTGCCCCATCAGTTGATATTACTAGACAACTATTTTTCTTTCACTGCGTGTATATTTCTAATTCTGAAAGATGGGTACAGCTTCAAATAAATATATGTCTGTTCATATTAATGTTCCACGTGAACTGTTAGTAGTTGTCTTTTCACAGTAACGTTCCACGTGAACTGTTAGTAGTTGTCTTTTCACAGTAACGTTCCATGTGAACTGTTAGTAGTTGTCTGTTCATATTAACTTTCCGTTTGAACTGTTAGTAGTTGTCTGTTCATATTTACGTGCTGTTTGAACAGTTAGTCGTTGTCTGTTCATATTTACGTTCTGTTTGTACCGTAAGTAGTTGTCTGTTCATATTAACGTTCCACGTGAACTGTTAGTAGTTGTCTGTTCATATTACCGTTCCACGTGAACTGTTAGTAGTTGTCTGTTCACAGTAACGTTCCACGTGAACTGTTAGTAGTTGTCTGTTCATATTAACTTTCCGTTTGAACTGTTAGTAGTTGTCTGTTCATATTTACGTTCTGTTTGAACTGTTAGTAGTTGTCTTTTCATATTTACGTTCTGTTTGAACCGTTAGTAGTTGTCTGTTCATATTAACGTTCAACGTGAACTGACTGGTTTGTATAACTCGGCTTCTCGACTACATTGTTTATCTAATCTGAAAGCGTAAAAGGTATGACTCGTTTTTATGTTCCACAACTAGGCAGTTAAAGTTTAAACACCTTTATCTGAACTAACTGCGTACGTACTGTACTTCGCTAAACTATTTATTATTTTGCGTGTAACAGTATTTCTGTTTTTGGTCTAAAAGTTTGAAATGTTTCACTCAAAATAACCTAGACTTCTTCCTAAGGATATATTTGCAAGTATATATATATATGTATGTATGTATTTGTTTTATTCATTCATGAAATTATCAACATAAGATTATTTCAACATACCTATAAACTTTATTTTTTCTCATAGGACTAGGAAACCAGCTAAACCTCCGGTCTTAAACCAACACGTAAGTTGAATAACAGAATATTTCATAATTAAAACAACAATCCAAGTCTATCATCTTATATGTCATTCTGTATATATGTATATTCTGTGTCATTGAACTGAAAATTTACCATTTTAGAAGGTCAACTTTCATATTTGTTGCTTTAACGTAAAATATTTGAACTTTAAATGCTTTAATTCTGAACTCAAAACATTAAGTGCAAATTGTAAAATGACATTAACCTTCTTGAAACAAGACCCCCAGTGGCACATCAGTATGTCTACGGACTTCAACGCTAGAACCCGGGTGTCGATACTCGCGGTGGGCAACGCACCGATAACCCATTGTGTAGCTTTGTGCTTTATTACCAGCATCAAAAAATCATTAAAAACAAGCACAATACATAACAAAGAAACTCTTAATCCGGAAAACGAATGGAAAAATCTTAATTTCGCAAACTTAACTCTCAAGTCTCAACGGAAGAATATTGAACTAACACGGTTATAGCTACCACCAAATTTTATACATTTTATAAGATAAAACATATTTGTTTGTTTTTGACAAAGCAGTAAAAAAAATACCGAATGAAAATCATATTTTCTTTTTGAAAATTAGAAAAATTGTTCCACTTGACTGTAAACAAATTACTGTTTGGAGAATGTCTTAATCTTTATGTGATTATTTAACAGGAATTTATAATTTGTAGAGCCCACCCTTTTCCGGTGGTTCAACAATAAGTCTGAGGGCTTATAACGTTAAAAATAAGGTTTCGATACTCGCGGTTGGCACAGAACAGATAGCCCATTGGGTAGATTTGTGCTGAATAATAAACACAAAATAATTTGTAGAGTAATTTGTAAATCACTGATAACGCCTCAAGCGTTGTATTCAAAATGTTAATGGTAGAAGCGGTGAAAACATTTCTTTAGCTACACAAATTTCTGAGTAGTCCAAAAACTTCGCCTGAATTCACTTTTTTTAGTCCTTTATATTTTCATAAGATGCTTGTATTAACATTTCTTATTTCTTTTGTGTATTTTGAACTAACCTTTACAATCACTTACCTTTCAACGACTTTTGTTTTACTTTGCACGGACCTAATTTTAAACAAAATTAATAATTTTGGCTCCATAACATTCTTAATTCATATTTTATCTTACTTAATTTTTATACTCACTACAATTCTTATCAATGATATTTATTCATTAACAAATAAAAGAGCCCTCCAGTGGCACAGCGGTATGTCTGCGGACTTACAACGCTAGGATCCGGGTTTCGATACCCGTGGTGGGCAGAGCACAGATAGCCCATTGTGTAGCTTTGTGCTTAATTACAAACAAATAAAAGAAAACCGGAAATGGCGTTTTTGAGAAATTGACATCACCTACTGCTGTTAAAGTTTTGTTTTAAGGGTGAGTTTAGAAATCCTTTAAAATGTTATTAAAACTGTATTATTAGTTTTATAGATATTTCCTTCTTCTTCTGATTATTTTGGTATTAATCGTGCTAATTGTTCTATTTCAGGATACGTTATCGTCCGAAGTTAACGATAACCATGGGTTTGGTAGGTAGATCTTTATACATAAATCTGTGTTGTTGTTTTTTTCCTTCAGTTACATTTCTTAGACTGCCAGTTACATGTTTCACTGTTAAAGTTTTATATCTATTAATGTACTTTTGTATGCTTTCATCTTTCTTGCCACCCAAATTATAAAATACTTTTATTTATTATTAGTGATAAACTGAACGAGTTTTTATGCTATCTGTTTTTCAAATATGTTGTTATTACCACATATGTTGCTACTAATGAGTTGGTAATAGATGCATCTGTATTTGTGTTAAACGGCCACTCCAGAGACTCTTTAAGATTCGGGTATAGTCATCTCTAAGTTAGAAATGCTGCTCAAGAGGAGGGACAAATAGGACAAATAACATTCTTAACCAAACAGTGTGATACCTCCATAGATTTAAGTGCAGAGCGTGTTTAGCGATATATCACGGCTCGAACCTTAGCTTGTTTTATTCCTAGGCCTCATCTGGCTTTAAAAAATGTTAATTTAACTTATTGTTATCCCTTGGTGGATCAGCGGTAAGTTTACGGACTTACAACGCTAAATTTGGGGTTCGATTCCTTCAGGTGGACAGAGCTCATATAGCCCATTATGTTTGTTTGTTTGTTTTAATAAGTAAAGCTACACTGGGCTATCTGCTGTGTCCACCGCGAAGAATCGAGCCCCGAATTTTAACGTTGTCAGTCCGTAAACGCACTGCTGTCTCACCGGGGAACAATCCATTATGTAGTTTTGCGCTGAAAGGAAACAAACAAACACATTGATTAGATAATCTTATTTTTATTGAGAGTCGATATAAACTATTGACTGGCCAGTTCAAATTGGTAACATATCTTATTTTCAATGGCTAAAATTCCTAAGATAGATAATACACTATATGGATTTAAAAAGGATCACAATTAGTTTTGACCGAGTTCTTAGTATCTGTTATGAGAGCTTCACTGTAACGCCAAATATAATTGAATAGAATCCATCTGGCACGGAACAACTTTTTCTTGGTTTGATCCTCCAGTTTCACATAGAGAAGTAATGTAAAATAGGCACTGCAGAATTTGTCTGTAATATTTGGACTAACCAGTAAAATTGTAAGAAAACTAAACATTTGACCATCTGTGTCTTATATTGGAAAAACAGTAATTATTCCAATTAAAATTGGTTTTGATCAGTTTCAATTTCTTAAAAATATTGCCCATCCTACTTGCTTCATACATAAAAACTGCGAGGTTCTAGCTTCACTCATACCTATAGTTGGGTGTTCGATGTCTTGTCCTAAATAAATAAATAATTCGTGTGTAGTAGGTTCCACAATTATATGTGTTTGTTGCTTGCAGTTTTAATCCTCGGTGAGAAAGAACTGGTAACCTAGTTATGATGCCACCATAAATTTAGTAACAGTAAATTTGCTGTGGTGCTTTGAAAAATTGAGGTGGTGGTGGTGCCACTTTACTTATCACTTATAATAAATTATTTTATTTTGAATAATTCATTGTATCTTGTAGTTTAATTCCGCGTAAATGAAAACAGTATTTAATCACAGATATGTTGTCTTCAAGTTCACATTATTTCGAAAGTATCTAAATGTATATTCTGGATATGAGAGCTCGAACAAACAAAAGATAAAAGGATTTAGTAAATTTAAGACTTTTATAAGTATAAGGCGCCATCTAACGTCCGTTTTAAGCAATAAATAGCATACAAAATTCTTGATAATGAAATGCTGAAAATCAACATTCGAAATACTGTAAATTAAGTACAATTTAAATATAAATAAACTTGAGGACGGTGTAAATCAAACTGGTTTTAAATAACATTTTATATTCAGATCCCGTCTTCAAGTGTAACATACTTAGAAAGAAAGAGAAATAGGTCGTTCATATAAAGATATATTACCTCTAAAATAGCGTAGTTATGCTTACAACATTGTCACTTACACTAGGATTCGAGTCACGTTAATTAATATTACAAAATATACACATTTGTACCACAAATGCCAGAATTTGTTAAATTTATTCGTCTTCCTTCAGCGGACTTCTACCACTAGAAACCGGTTTTCGATACCCGTGGTGGGAAGAGTACAGATAGCCCATTGTGTAGCTTTGTTTTTAACTACAAACAAATTCCTTCATTCAAGCTTGTATTATATAAATGTCAGGTTTCATCAGATTTATCAACACCAACGACCATTATGTAATACTAAACATAATGCTATAAGTTCATATTTGAATTTCTTTTAATGTATTTTACAAGGACTCATTCTTTGACTAACAATGATCACTAGTGTCAAAACAAAATTTATCCAGAAACTTTTGTGTTATGATGTAAAATGTATAGTTATAATTTAAAACAACATACTATTAACTAGGTGAGAGCTGTAATTTCGAACAGTATCAGATACATAAATCCGGCAAGGATGATGAAAGAAGTTATCGGTAAATTAGTACACCTTCTTAACTCCAGAATTGTTTGGAGTAAAAATTTTGTTTACTAAATAAAAAAATGAGCTTTTATGATATAAAATAAGTATTTTTATTTGCGAAACTTTTGGTGTTTTTTATCATTCGTTTAAGCATGAGAAATGTGGCTTAGAATTACAGCTTTTTCAGCATTAATGTTACGAGGTGGATACAGAATCGATGAAAAATCTATGGTAGCAACGTTCAATTCTTAATAAGAAGTTGCTATAGAAAAGTGTTATTTTAGTTTACATCCTGTACTTATACCGAACATTACAGTACTAGGCGTAAGAAATGCAATTTCAAAATTGGAACATAACACATATCATAATTAATATTTAGTAAATTGTCCTATATGACTACATCAATCAGGGATAACTATGTCATCATATCTGAAGACCACTCACCGGTATTTTCATGTCAAATGTAACACCGTCTGCGACACCTATTCAGGAATAATAAGTCTACATAGGCCGTATTATATTCAAGGTTTAACGAGACACCTAAACAGGCAACGTCATTTTTATTATACACGCAGCACTTAGATAGATCAAGTTTTATTTAACACTGATATAGTCACAGAAATAGTCCAGTCCTTATTTAACACTGATATAGACACCTAAACAAACCAGTTCTTATTTAACATTAATCTAGACATCTCAACAGGCCAGTACTTATTTAACATTAATCTAGACATCTCAACAGGCCAGTACTTATTTAACACCGTTCTAGACATCTAGACAGACCAGTCTTTATTCATCACTGATCTAGACACTTATACAAGCCAATTCTTATTTCATACTTATCTAAACAACTAAGCAGGATAGTCCTTAATCTTTACTTAACACTGATCTAGACATCCAGACAGACCAATCCTTATTTAACACTGGTCTAGACATCTAACAAACAAATTCTTATTTAACACTGGTCTGGACACCGAAGCAGACCAGTCCTTATTTAACACTGATCAAGACACCTAGACAAGCCAGTCCTTATTTAGCACCGATCTAGAGTATAGACAACTAATAGGCCAGTTCTTATTTAATAATAGCTAGACAATTAAACAAACCAATCTTAATTTAACACTAATCTAGACATGTAGATAAATCAGTTGTTATTTAGTATTGATCTAGACGCTTAGACAGGGCGGTCGTTATTTAACACTGATTTATACACATAAACAGGCCAATCTTTACTTGACACTGATCTTGAGTGTAGATACATAAACAGGTCTAAACACCTAAATAGACAGTTCTTTATTTAACACTTATCTAGAGTCCAAACACCTAAACAGGCAGTCCTTATTTAACACTGATTTGGAGTCTAGACACCTAAATAGGCAGTCCTTATTTAACACTGATCTAGACATCCAAATAGGCCATGCCACCTTTAAGGTTTACTATAACTTTTAACAGGCTATGTCATGTTTAACACTGACCTAGACATCTAAACAGGTCATGTTATGTTTATAACTGAAGTTCATGAATTGTATCGTCACATCTACACGTGCAAAAAGATTCGAAATTATGGGAGTCCCAGTAGTGCGAGTTTTTAAGTTGTTAGTATTTTAGCTTATGCTTCTTCTTGTAACATAAATAAATATTTTTTGTGCTTAGAAAACGTCATTTCCGAAACCATCACGGACTCTGACTTAGAGAAACGTCTAGCGGCACTACGAGAAAAGGAATACTTTCTTACCCAGCTTTTAAGGGAAGCTAAAGAAAATGAGCCATCCACAACCACGCCTAACTCACCACGGTTAGTGTTGTAACCTGAAAATACAAAGAGTTGTTTAAATAGCTGTAAGAAAAAAAAATTTCTATAGTCAAATTTCTGCTTAACTATGTTCACTGTTAACTTTTTGCTTTATTTTTTTATTGCGTCTTTTGTTCTGCAGAGGGTTGATAACATTATATCAATATGATTTCGGAACCTTGTTACAGTCTATGTTATCACGTTCGGTCATACTCTATCTGATGACCGTACATCTTGACAATAGCCCTGAAGCGTAGTTTTCCACTGCAAAAGGCTCAGTTGTCAAGTTATCACATTCAAAGTATACCACTTTTACCTGCTCTCTTTCCATAATCCACCTAGTTTATGAGGATGGGGGTTTCCATTAGCCCGTTTCAACAGTTCGATCGCACAGAAATCCATAGGTGGCTTTTTCGTTATGTCTTCATATGGAATAGCACGAATATCCGTTTCATTATCCAACTGTTTGAGGTATGCGACAGTGGAATAAGCGTATTGTGGAAGCAGTTTTGTAAACTTGACTTATGTTTGCTTTTCCAGATGGAGATCTTTTGTATTATGTTGCGTACTGTCGTCTGGGGCAGGTGGACAAATTTTTCCACTTTTGTCTTCTTTGAATCTCACCTACATCTATTTGTTAGCACACCTACCTCCTTCTCTGTAGATTTCTACGTCTATTTATTAATACACATACTACTTCTCTATAGGTTTCTATGTAAATC